TATCATAGAAATGACTCCTTTTCCTCTTTCATTTCCATGCCGAGAAAATGCTTTTCTCAAGAGTTGTGCTGAGTGGTGGGGATGGACATGGCTAGGAGCTAGGAGTACATTTAGTAGAACAAGAATAGAAATAGCAGTTTGGGGTTTTCTCTTTATCTCAGGAGGAAGCTAAACAGCCTTTTTAGAGACTGTGAGGCTCTCTGTGGACAGAAACACAAATTCTGTAGGATAATTTAGAAGATTGTGCTTTTAAATTTAGTTTGTGACACAACACTCTAAGACTTTGCAGTAGTTTTCTGAAAAGTTTTTCCTCTTTCCCATTCAAGGATACTGGATAATAATGTTATTATCTACATGGTGATTTTCACCCAAATGTCTGTAATTGCTTTACAGCTGTAAATATCAGGAGTCTCATTGTACAGCAGCTGCAGAAAAACATGCTGAGGTTTTTTACATGTTTAGGAATATCTTTGAAAGGAAAAAATCTGTGTTTGGACTCCATTTTTGCTGGAGAAGAACCAGATTTGCTATTTTTCATGTTCCTTTTGTCGTCTCTGAACTTTTTTCCATTCTACTATGTCCTTTTTGTGATAATGGACCAGACAGCACACATTATTAAAAAGGCAGCGTACACTCTAGATTATATGGTGGCATAATAATGTTCTCTGGTTTATTCTTTGTTCTCTTCCTAATAATTCATAACATTCAATTTGCTTTTTTTTTTTATAACTGTTAAGCACAGACCTGACATTTTTGTAAAACTGTCTATTATAATGCCAGCATTTTGTTCTTAAATGGTAATAATAATCTCAGGACCTATCGTTAATGTGCATGTGTATAGAAAGTTGGATTTTTCTCCATATGGGTCATTTTACATTTGTCTGCATTGAATTATATCAGCCATTTTATAACCCAGTCACTCAGTCTCATAAGGTTTCTGCAACATTTCCGTTAGCCATTTTTTTTAGCACCCTGATACTACTAGAAAGGCTTTTCACCTTACTGTTCATACCCTTTTCCGATCATTTATGAACAGACTGAAGAACAGGGCTGAACACAGACCCCTCTTGGACTCCACTGAGGACATCCCTCTGATCTGAAAAGTGACTATGTGTGCCCTAATGTTTCTTTTGGATTAGCTAACCCTTTCTGTATGTGATCAGTCCTTTGGTGCATTAGCTTCTTTAGAGGTTTTGATGAAGGCTTTTATTGCATGCGCATGTAGGCTTCTGAGGATCTCCGTTGTCCACCTGCTTCTTTATTCCTTCAAAGGACTCCAGCAGGTTTCTGAGGCACAGATCCCTTTTGCAAAGTCACTCTGGCTCTTCCATGGCATACTGTATTTATTTTGTGGTGTTTTTTTCTGCTATAGCTTTGTTCTTCTGACTGCTTTTCTGCTGATTTGCTTGGGAAAACTTTATAAGAGCCCTCCACAAATTAAGAAACAAAGTTTACCAGTCATCGGGGGGGCAAGCTTTTGTGTATGAGGAAGGAACCTGAACATGAACCGCTTTCCATGTTCACAGTAAACACTGAGTCAAAGAAGCTGCTTAGTTCTTGTTGCATTTTTATCTTTTCTAAAGGCTCTTTCTTTCTTGCTCTTTGGGCACAGACTGTCAGCCATTGTATTTGTGGACAGTGCCCTCCACACAACTGTGGTCCTTTCATGCTACTGCAGTTGTAGCTATACTAAATAATGTTTAAAAAAATCTTAATGCTATAGTTTTTGTTTTCCCCATTGCTTCTGTCATATACACTGTTCTGGGTCATGTGCAACCTACAGGAGGGATTTTGGATCTAAAATAATCTGAAATAGAGCAACCAAGTATATAACAGGTACTCATTTCCATTTTCTCTTTCCATGACTTGTAGGAGTCCCAAGGGATTTTTGGAGGGTTGAATCATCTGACTTTTCACCCAGACTACAGGACAGAAACACTCATGACAGCTTCTGCGGCCGTGAACCCCTGGTTATCCAGACTGCAGGGCTGGTTAGAGAGCACTGAGAGACTCTTTTGTGTCCTCTGCTCACATTTCCTTCCTAAGCAGTTGAGACATGTCAGGGGCTCTCACTCAAATGCAGAAGTTGGAAAGTTTATATTAAGTGTAAATCCTACTTTCTTATCAGAAAAATGCAGTGTTTCATTTTTATTACAGAAAGTATTGATAGCTATGGAGTAGAAAGCTATCGCAAAAAGATGCTAACATAATATATTAATAAAGTAGTTTAAATATAAATAATGCAATAAAAAAGTTGTAATACTGAGCAAGCATTATTCAAAGAATCCTCTTCAAACGCCTTCAAAAAAATCAGAGTACAAGACCTTTAAGATCCTTCAAGAGAAATTTGAAATGTCAGACACAGGAAGCATAAATGCCATAATGATGAGGAAGGGGTGTAAGAAGTACAACATCCAGGCATTCTGAAAGAGAGAAAATACTCCCATGATGACTGAAGCAATGTTTTCGTTTCTGAGTTTTGTACTATATTGTATGGCACTCTGCTTTCAGAGACCATTAAGGAATCAGATCTCAAATGAAGATACTGGGAAAAGGAAGGAAAATGTTACATTTATTTTTAATAACTTATTTAAAGAATTGTTTGAACCATATATAATAGGTGAGAAAAAGGGCTCAAGAGGCAGAATCAGAGAATGTCACCATCTTGCTGCTCAGATAAAGTAACTTTTTCTGGGCCTAGGCAAGAAAAGTTTTTTTCATTTCTATACTACGTACAAATCTTATCAATACCGGCATAATTTTTACTCGCTCATGTAGAAAATATAAGGCACTCTATTTGCAGTCAGTCAGTGTTCACAAAGACAGACCTACTGACCCATCATTGCTTATAAGTTTAAGGTTACATGAAGTAGACTCGTGTTGCATAATTGCATTTTCATATGATTGCTTTTTTTTGCTTCAGATTTGCTACCATCTTTATCCTCTACCTTGGTTTACAATAAGAATTGCCCCCCAGCTTGTTTAAAACTAGGGTAACTATTATAAGGCTACAACAACCTATCATCCATTTTTGTACAGCTTCATATTTATTTCCTTTAAAATTGCTATATTTACTTTTTACACATTCTGAATGTGCACGGTGCATTACCTACCCATATCCAGTTTCTTCTCCAAAGGGTTGGTTGCCCATGTGTTCCAACCTAAATATAAGTTCCATGTTGAAAGCTGACCCTAAGTTAACATGAAAATTAGAAAAGGAGATGACAAGTCTAGGAAAAAAAGGATAATAGGCGAGCAAAAAAAGAATAAAGTTGTGATTGCTCACTGATAAAATGGAATAACATTTCCTCACCCGCCCTGGTAGGTTTTAAATTGTTGGTGAGTTCTACACAATGCTTCTCAAACATTAACTTTTCAGCCCAATTTGTTTATATCTTGCATTTTAATGCTAGCATTGAATTACAGATCGTTGCAGTCATTTAATTATTCAAGATCATACCTTGGTTATCGATGAAAATGTGAGTTTGTCAGAGGACTTTTTTTCTGTATGTACAGAATGGGGAAGATGCATACAGCCTTACAATAGAGTTGGAAACAGAGAGAGGGGGGATGAGGGAACTGTGAAGCTGATAATCCAGTCTTCCAGCTGCATTATTTTAAAGGTCCTTTCCATCCACTGAAGGATGCTGTCCAGCTGAGCAATGCAGGATGACTGAGGTTAATATTCTCCATCAAGAAGGAAGAAATGGATGGGATAAGGAAAGAAAACACATTTCATTGGATCTCTCAGGGGCTTTACGCTTTCTGAGCTAGTTAGAAGTGGTAAAGCTCAGTCCGGTGTTCCCTCTCCCCTGTGTGCTGAAGGAGTGATCCCAGGGCACCTTTGATTCATGTGCTCAGCGCAGGAGCTGCTTATTGTTCTCTGTACAAAACTGTAGCTCGGGCACATACAGTGAGACAACCTCAGAAATCTGCAGTGGGATTTTACATAAGCGTATCAATAAGTGTCATACGATGGCATTCAACACAAAGCGCTTGGTTTTCACGTTAATGTGTTGGTTAATGACTGTTTCAAAAATCTGCATGAACTGGGAGGAAAGGCATGAAGTTCTAAATGCACGAAAAAGTGTAAAATTGCATGGCATCAGCCAAAGATGTTATAAAAGACTCATGCTGTTCTAAACAGCGAGTGCTTCCAGCCCACTCTTTTCCCCCAAACCTTCTAAAAGCACCCAGCTGTGAGCCCTTTTAACGAAAGTCTAAAGTCTAAGTTTAAAATAAAGATGTTAAATTTATGTTTTGAAATCAATTTTAAAAAGATTACATGGCCGCTAAGCAATGCTGAAAACTCTTATTATGTGAGGCCGCTAAGTGTAGCCACTGAACCCCTCCCAAGAGTTCTTCTTTTTATTTTTTGTTAATGCCTGCCATCCTTTTTCTGACTCTTCCCACTGCTCTTTATTATCTATTCTTTATTTTTGTGTATTTTGATCTAACTGAATTGCTGTTTACCTTGCTTTTGAAATTTGTGTTCATCTGTTTTAAAGTCCCGCGGACATCTTAGGTATTACAGAGTACGTATTAATAGTGGTTTTGAAGCCCTGCAGTGGCACAACGGCAGATCTGTGTGTTTGATATCTTATTGTTTCAGACAGCCTCGCATAAACAGAATGTTTTTCCACGGTCACCAAATCACCCAGAGAATAGCCCCAAATCAGTTTTTGTGGGAAACCTGTTTATGGTGCCAAAAACTTAGCAGGAGTAGAAAGTTGATAAAGCAACTGCATAATTACCCATCAGTATCAGGTATGATCTGTTTATAAAAGCCATGTACTGAAAATATGACTTGGCCGAGTTTCCTTGGCATGTCTCCGTAGTAATCCTAAAAGGTCACTGTTGTGGAAATGTGACTTCTCTGTCCCTAAACAATCTGGACTGTTTATAACATTTTTTTGTGATTTTTTTTTTAGTATTCTAAAGGTATGTCAGCTGCATCTTCAGATTGCAAAGAGCATTCTGGAAAAAAGTATTCCGCACGGATGGTGGACGTTGCAAATGCCTTTGTTCTGTGCAACAGTGGCCAAGGTAGGGCGCTGACTTGGTGCTTGGGATTTAAACACCTTTAAAATGTCTCTGGCACCATTTCGGATTGGAAACGGGAGCTCTTTCAGCCTGTTCATGGGGTCCTGGGGGACAGATGGCTTTAAAGATGTGCATTTAATGGACCCAGAGGCCCCAAACATTTTTCATAGAGCGCTGTGCAGGCAGCAGATCTTGGTAAGAAAGAGGTGGCGAACTTCCTGCAGAAGGCCTGCATCCTGGCACTGTCTGCAGGTCTTTTATCTGCTGTGAGAATCTGTGAAAGTTCTTTTTTTAAAAATTTTTTTCATATTGACAAGTGCAACTGACCTTTGAAGTCGCTACTGAGCCAATACATGGCTCTAGATGTATTCAGAAGCTTCCTTCTTCCCCCTACTTAGTACGGCAAAAATAGAAACAAAACGATCATTTGAATAATGCATGGGCAATTATAATTATATACACAATTAAAATTTAGTGTTAATATATACACTTAACTAGAATCCTTCTTTTATATGGCATCTCCACTATTGATTAAACAAGCTACTGGGGTGCACATTTTAGTGGCAGGACCTACGATACTCATCTGTGTTCCAGTGCATAGTGTGTTTTCCCATCTACGAATGTGTAATGTGCTACATCAAGTCCACTTTTATACATTTCTATCATTCTTGTAGGCTGTAATATGGAATTGTATAAAAGCAATATAGTCAATATTCAAGTAAACATTAATAAAAAGTTTCCAGTAATGTATTTTTTGATAATTTCATAACATTCTTATATGAGGGGTAAACACCAAAAATATGATTTCCTTTCTGAAGAAAGTGCTCCTCCCATTTTTTTCCCCATACATCTTAAAGAAGCTGCTAAACAGTTTACCTTAATGTTTAAAGATACAATAGCTGTAACTGTTGATTGAAGAGCTAGTTAGGATGAAGGTGATAAAAATGTTATGTTCTTCTTGCTGAACTTTGCCTGTTTCGAGTAACAAGCAAGTAAATATAAGCAGATCTTATTATAGAGAACATCCCAAAGCAACTGGAAGTTTTTGCAAAGTACTACCCTGCTTTGTCATAGGCTGAGTAATAGCAGAGCATAATGCAATTTAAGAATGAATTCCTGATTCTCTTCCATATTTAAGACATTCCAGCGCTTATCAGTTGCAAATAAGAAATAGTTGGAAAGCATATGGCATCTGTTGCACACCACATCATGCGTTTCAGTACCAGGAAAATTACAAGACTAAGGGAGGAGCCTCGGTATGAAAACCTTTTTTTTTCCCGACCTATAGCAGATGGTCAGATTTCTAATTTAAAATTTTCTTGGATTTTTTGGCATACCGCCATCTGTCTCCACAGCTGCAACAGTGCAATAACTCTGTCACCTCTCTCAGAAAATATTTCTTGAGAGTAAATTTAATGCCTAGCGAAGTGTTGAATTTACAGCTGCTGGGAGCAGAATATAATATGTAAGAGTTGGCCTTGAGGCCCTGCTGATTTCCCTCACCTGGTTACAAGTAAGGTTGTGTTTTTATGAAACTGTTGTGAACAGCATTAGGGAGTTGCAGGGAAGATGTTTCCAGTTATTTGTTTTCACAGGCCCTTTAGTAATCCCGTGTACAAAGAATCGATCAGCAGCGTCAGTGGAGATCTTGCATAAAGAGCTTGATTGAGATTATGGAAAACATTCATAATCATTATTATTGCAAGAAGACAGTTTTCTCTAAGTTTTTTCTTTGTCACGCCTCTGTCAGTGTCTATTAACATTGAAAATACTAGCGCAGACGGGCAGTTGTAATGTTAAATACCTTGCCAAGTGTTCAACCCATCTGTCTGCTTAGATATTCAATTGGAGATGGTGGCCCACCTCTGCAGAGCTGCCAAAATGGTTTTCAGAAGTAGTACTGAATGGGTACTTGTGACATGGGAAACACTTCACTGACTTTCTCTGGAGAAGGCAAGTCAGACTCTTCCAGATAGAAGATGGGTACCAGGCACTACTAACTTGAATTAGATTTGAAATTCAGTTCTGTGATGAAGATCTTCCTATCCCGTGACCACCACCTGAATCATCAAGTTTGATCTGTAGTCTCTGTGTTTGCAGTAGTGTAGAGGTTATGCGTACATGAAATTTACTTTCTTTCAGAAATTTGTGTGCAAGTTTGGTTGGCTCTTCTACTTTTATAAACTTAGAAATAAGATTTATGCGAAGTTCACAGTTTCCAGGTCTTGTGAGGCTTTCAAAACCTGTTACCCTCGTCATCTTCAGATGTCAGGTGACTTGCTAGCATTTTTGCAAAATGTCAGTTGGATACTCTGGATCCAGCAGGTTTCTCCCCATGTTCAGTCAGCCTTGAGCTACGGTCATAGTTGAGGCTTGCAGAAGTGGTTTCTCTTATGGTTTATCCGAGGAATGGGTCAGTTCCTGGAAAACTCAGGTGACTGGAAAGAGAGGGGTCAAGGGGAGAGGCATGTCCATTGAAAAACCAGTGCTGGGTGCACAGGGACAACAACTGCTCTGTCAGAGGAAATCACAAGGGCACGAGCTGCTTGACAGTGGGAAAAATCGCAGAGCAGAAATCCTTTTCCTCCTGCCCTCACAAAGGCAGTGTCCTTTCTGAAAAATGGTATCGATGTTTGATTCAAGCCCAACTTACCCGCCTGTTACTTGTCATCTTTCCCCCTCTGTCTCACCCTCCCTAAGGCAAAACACACCCCAAAAGCGTGTTCAGGCTCCTCCATCTCCCCACATCTTGCTGCTCAAGAGTGAACCCCATACAACATTGTGTTTCTGAATAAACAGGAGTTTTTCCCAGTAGGGCTATGAGACATGTTTCCGGCTTTGCATGGTGCTGTCTGCATGAAGCTCTATCACAGCAGCACAGTTTGAATTCCGAGCAGCGATTATCAGCTATTTGAATAAAGCAAATGAGTCCTACAAGCTGCATTAATACACCAACATAGCTCTTTAGTTAGCATTAGTAGCATTAGCGAGTTAGCATTCATTTTTCACTCACTTTTTAAGTTGACCAACATGTACTCCCCAAGTCTTTTGTGTCTACTCCAATTTTGGTGATCATAATGATTTTCTAGGTGTAGTATTGAAGACCTTTCTATTAAAGGGAAGGTGACTATACTTAGGAAAGACAACCTTGTAGCAGAACAATTGGACAGGGACAAAATCTGTTGTGGCATTCTGCCTTGGCCTTGTGTTGTAGCCTTGGACAAAACATTTTATCTCTCTATACTTTTCTTCTTCATCCAGTGAAATGGACACGATAATATCTCATTTTTATCAGAGTATGTAAGACTTATCTGCTTATGCTGTAAGTCATGAACTGGTTCTTATCCATGTCTTTCAGAAGGGGGATCTGATCTTCACTGCAGCCTCTAGGTATTACGATATTTCACATAGCTGTTAATGATAATGACTGGAAGTGATGAGTAATGCTTAAAATTTAAGCTATTTAGAGGCCACATTTTAGATTTCTGCTATCAAATCATCTTGCAGACAGCAGCATTTTCCCCTTAGAGGGTGAATAATTAAGAGTAGATTAATACACTATCTGCCAACTTTTTGTCAGATATTTTCTGCCGCTTTTAAAGGAAGGTTTCAAACATGAGGAATAAATGATGTCTTAAAATACTTCTCCACACTGTAATTCTACACATTTGTCTCCAATAGACGGAAGGCCTAGTCAAGTTAATTACTATTTGCATAAAAATCAGGTCCTTAAAAAATTGCTTGTGTCCTTGATCCTCCAAGCACTTAAAAGGCATTCTTAATCTTACACATGATCAGTTCTATTTAGTTTATTTAGATCGCACAGATGCTCAAGGTTAAGTCTCTGCCCAGGCATTTATAGGATTGGAGCCTCAGACTATGTATGCTAAATGGCAAAACGTCATTTCATAGGGTTGTTGAAAATAGGATTGTTCCTCATCAAAAAACATGTTGTAGCAAATAGTAATTTTCTCGAAAATTCACCAAAAGCCACCTGTTTCTCTTTGTTTTGCAGCTGACAAATGAAAGGACTTTCCCATCCAGATAATTTTTTTCTTCTTCTGTCTTTTCGAGTCTAAAGGAAGAATGTTGGGATAATGGGAAGGTGGAAAGGCACGAGAGTAGCATTGGAGCCAATACTGAACACTGAAAATATTACTGCTGAAAATGCTGGGTTTGGAATGTATTTATATACATTTATTTCACATTTAAAAAATATTTCTACTTTTTCCCATTAAATAGACCAATTTTTGGCAATCATTTATAATCATCTCTGTAATATGCAGAGTACGTATAATAACCTGAGATGTGCTGTATGATCTACATCAGTACTGTATTTGTTTATCCCCAAAAGTCCATGGAACTGTATTGGTTTCCTCTGGTGTTTTCCATTATCCTTGGGAGATTTCATATTAAAAAAAAACAATTAAATAACTAAATTTATTTTAAAGCTTTTGAAATGAGTCAAGAAAATGGCTCCCAGAAGGACAATGCATCCTTAAGTGTATTAGTTGATAACCTGGGAGACTGTTCCACAGCTGTGAACACAGCTGCATGTGGAGTTCTGGTGGATCAAGACTCTCCTGCTCTTTAAACTTCTCTCTGACACTGAAACCACAAGAAGAAGGGAAAAGGAAGGTGATGAGGTTAACATAGCGTTTATAGTTGGCTTTGATTTTCCAGTCCCCCCATATGTCTTTAAAATAAAGTGAAACAAACAGAAAGACCCTAAGCAACTTCCATAATTTTCTTTAGAGGAAAGTGTAAATCCATGTAGAGCCCAAGTCTCTCTTCATGTTAGGATTTCCAGAGTGCTGAAATCAAGCACACTGGAAATCATACATTAATATGACCTTAAGAACAAAGGAAATGTATGGGCTTTGTGGTAAATAGGCCCACTTCTGATGTGCTCAGACTTCTGCTGACTTCAGCTCTTGTTTCAACAACGACAAAAAAACCTCATCATCAGGCCCTTTTACTGCTTCCATTACTATTGCTCACAG